TTTTTTTTTTTTTTTTAAGATTTATTTATTTATTTACTTATCTGACAGAGACACAGTGAGAGCAGGAACACAAGCAGGGGGAGTGGGGGAGGGAGAAGCAGGCTTCCCGCAGAGCAGGGAGCCCGATGCGGGGCTCGATCCCAGGACCCCGGGACCATGCCCTGAGCCGAAGGCAGCCGCTTAATGACCGAGCCACCCAGGCGCCCCTGGGCTCTTCAAATCCTGGGGGCAGGCGTCCATCGCCTGTGGCCACGAGCCTCTGGCCTGCTGGACGACGCACTTCCAGGTGGACCCAAGATGAGGCAGGAGGACGTCTGTGTAGGGCTGGGAGGGTCCACCCCCGGGCTGCATGGGAAAGCGCCTGGCTCGCCATCAAGCCAGTGTGGACCCACGGTGGCCCTCGACGTGTTTGCCTCTGGGTGGACGGCGGGATGGAAGAGAGGAGGACCTGAGCGACACAGGGTCATGTTGCCCACACCCCTGCCTGAGCATGTGCGGCCCCAGATTCCGTGCTGGGCACCTGTAGCCGTTTACCTGAAACCCGCCGGACTGGCTTGCACCCCATCGGGGCCACCACCCCTCCCCCGGGGCCCCACGCGCTCGGGCAGCGGGAATGGTGCTCAGGAGCTGTGCTGTGCACGGCCTTCACAGACCCTGCCTGGACCTTTGAGTGGGATGCCTGGGCCCCACGCCGTGCCATTTGTGCCGGAGAACTGCAGCAGCCGGGTAGCTGGGGCACGAGCCCGAGGAGGACGCGGCTGCCTTTCATCTGCAGACGTGAACCTTCACACGCGCAGATGACTCTGCGGGGAAGAACCTGGAAGCAAGTGGAGTGTGTGAGGGGCAGCGGGCGTTCCTCCCGACCCCTTCCTGAGGATGCTGCTGGAGCAGGGAGCATCTGGGCTTTTGGAGACACCTGACCATGGGGCCGGGTCGGTCGGGCGTCCACACACGTCTCTCACCAGAGCACAAAGGCTGGCCTCCGTCCATGTGTCTGAGTGTGAATGGACAGGACACCCCCCGAGTGACCCAGGCTCCTGCTGGCTCTGTGTCAAGGTCGCTGGACCCGTGACACCTGCATGGCTCCACGTGCCACTGGCGCCTGGCGTGGGCTGGCATGGTCCAGGAGTGCTGGCCACGTGGTGGTGCGAGGTGTCTGCTCTCTGTCCAGGCGCCCCCCCCCCCGGCAACTACGGGGGGTCGGAGGCTTTCATTCACTGCAGGACAGGAACGGTGGGCAGGCGGCAGCTGCGGAAGCTGGGTGTTGAGTCCGTTCTGCTGAATCGTGATTTAAATGCTGGCTTTGCCTTAATCCCGGGCTGTATTTATTTCTCTAATTTAATTCCGTTTTCAAGGACATGAAGTGGATTGAAGAGAAGCAAGCGCTATATCGAAGGAACCAAGAGCTTGTGGAGAAGGTAGCCACCCCCCCCCCCCCCCCCCCCCCCCCCCGGGAACTGTCTTCTGGGAAGAGGCCCTTGGAGGGCCCACGGAGCTGGGTCCGCCCAGCAGCTGTGAGTGTGTCCGGTGGAGGGGCTGTGGCCACAGCTGCCAGGCCCCCTCCAGAGCTGACCTCCCTGGTTACGGGATTGTTCAAACAGAATCAGAAACAAGTCAACCCGACGTGTGAGGCCCGCACCTTCCAAAGGGTGAGCGCAATGCATCCGTGGGCTCCCCTGGCTTCCGGTTAACAGGAAGCCCCAAAACGCTGTTGTCCCTGCAGCCCACCCCCAGCTGGGGCTCTGTGCGCTGGAAGATTTTATGTGATGGGCCAGAAAACACGGTGCCCACTGGCCCGTTCCCGTTAGCGGCCTGAGCTCCTGCCCGGACCCACCTCACTTGCCCTTCTCCCTGCAGGTGAGACACCCATTCTACACACGAGCTCCCTAAGTCAGTCTGTTCTCGGGGCCCACAGCACAGAGGGCTGAGCACTGTGCAGGGCTCGTCAGATGACGCCTGCGCTGCTTGGGACGGTCCCCAGTGGGTGGCACCCCAGAGCCGCTGGAGCAGGGCGCTCGGACAGGGACGGGAGCGGGGGCTGCGGTTCAGAGGCAGAAAGGCCACCAGCACCACCGTCTTGCCCGGTGAGGGTGCTGTGTGCGGCCCTTCCCCACCAGCGTGGGCCTCGTCCTGGGCCGAGGACGGGCAGGGGCAGAGGCACTTGCCCGGGCAGCCACAGCCCTTCCAGAGAAGAGCCAGGCCAGCGCGTCCTCACGAGACTTAGGGGCGCCACCGTGACCCTGCTCTGCGCAGACCAGCAGCCTCTGAACCAAGCCCGTGGGCCACAGTCCAGTCCCACACGGGGCCCTGCTTTGGTGCTGTTAGGTCTTGAATCATGCGGAACGCCCACACGCTTCCTGCGGACCGTCCAGATGTGTCTTAAATCACGGCAGCTGTGTTTGTGGTGCTCTCATGCACATGTACACACCTGTGTGCATGGAAATGCTTGTGTGCACACATAACGTTCATGTGCACACTTAAATGCTCACTTGTACATATAACACATGCACATAAACGCTTCTGTGTGCACAAAAATACGTCTACATATAAATGTTTATGTGCACGCATACTCTTTATACACTTGTGTGCACACTTCCACGCTTCTCTGCACACACATTAGTTTGCATACATACTGCTTGCATGCACATTTAAGCACTTCTGTGCACTCTTAAACACTCACATTTAAACACGCACGTGCACACATAGATGTTCATGTACGCTTGCAAACACTGTGTGCACACTTACAGTGCTCGGGTGCACACTTTAAATCTTTACTTTTCTCTGGCTACCATGTACACGGGGTTACATTCATGGTAGGGGCTGCCCATGGCCTTGGCTGTGCAGCATGACACCAGGCACTGTGGAAGGAACCCACCCCCGACAGCACGTTGCAGGATGTTGAGCCCCTGGATCCATCTCCATCCACCCCTGAGCATCCCAGCAGGGCATTCAGCTCCCCACATTCAGTTCAGGGGGGATGGGCCGGGTCATCTGGCCCAGTGGACGCCCTTCTGGCACACCCTTCCCTGTCCTCCCAAGGCCGCATGCCCCAGGATGCATTGCTCTTCACCCTTTGGAAGGTGCGGGCCTCACACGTCGGGTTGACTTGTTTCTGATTCTGTTTGAACAATCCCGTCATTAGGAAGGTCAGCTCTGGAGGGGGCCCGGCAGCTGTGGTCCATGGCCCCTCCATCGGACAGCAATGCACCTTCGGGTTCTGGGCCAGCCTGGGCTCGAAGGAGCACTGTCCTGGCGACAGCAGGGTTCGCATGGGGACATCTTAGCGGCTCTTCCTTTGATGGGCTTTCTCTTCCCCATCTCTGCTCAGACAGCCGGGCCGGGCTCAGGGCCACTCTGGGGGCATCCACAGCTCCTCGCCCCCTGCATCTGCCCCTGCATCCGCAACCGCCCCGCTCCGATGAGCCAACTCTGGCTGGAGTGAGGGCTCTGGGCGCTGGGGCAGGTCAGCCATCCCCACAGATAGCTAGAAGCTGTCAGGAAAGTCGGGAGTGGACCTCACGTGACCACGTGTTTATTTGACAGATTAAACAAATGGAAATAGAAGAGGGTCGGTTAAAACACGAGGTCCAGGATGCGAGGGACCAAAACGAGCTGCTGGAGTTCCGGATCCTGGAACTCGAGGTGTGCCGGGGGCGTGGGTGCGGGGTGCGTTGGGCAGAGGCCACCATCCTGCGGAGCTGCTGTGATGGAGGAGGCGCTTAGTCTTCCTGACCTGGGCCCTTGCTCATGACCCCAAGAGGGTGGGTTGGAAAGGAGGTACCTCTCTGCCCAACGGCCACGGAGGAAAGCCCAGAATGAATGAGACATGAGTGTCTGCTTCCAGACTCACGGGGCTGGACAATGATGGCCCTGCCCTGTGGGGCCGTGATGGTGGCAGCTGAGCGGGGGCCACACGCCCGACCACGGTGGTCAGCCAGTGGACGCTTGCTCCCTGCTCGTTTAAGCAGCCCAGTGCGGGCAGCTGGGGGCCACGTAGTGACCAGGTGCCCATCTGTGCATGGCTGTCCTGGGCCCTCGTCCTCCCCTGTGACCTCGGCCTCCTGCAGAGGAGGAAGTGGGAGCTAGGCTCCCTCGGGGGAGGGTCCAGCTGCGCACGGACGGCCACATGGCTGCCCTCACCTTCCACCGTCTCTCCTGGGGTGTGGTGCATTTGTGAGGCTGGTGGACGTGCCCTGGGCCGGCGTCTGCCATGCTGGCTGCCCACACACAGCTCCGGGGCCTCCTCCTCAGTCCTAGCCACCTTCAGGACCCCCGGCGACCCTGGCTGCCGGGAGTGTGCGCACGCGCGCACGCACCCATGACCGCCCCTTGGCCTCCAGGACTCCGGCATGTGGCCCTGGGTGAGGAGGGGGGCAGCGCCACCAGCCACTATGCTCAGGGGCTCGCTCGGGTAGGCCTGTGGAGGGTGACACTGCTCGCGGAGCCTCCCGACGGGCTGGGGATCATGGCAGACCCGGCAAGTCAGCAGTGGGGGATGAGGACGGAGGAGTCGGAGCTGAGGGAACTGAGCTGGGGGCTCCAGGGCCTTCCCCAGGCCGGGAGGTCCCGCTCCCGCCGGCATCTGTGCAGCGGCCCTCTGCTGCCCCTGGGCTTTGTTTCACAAATGCAGACCACATTCGCTGGCCTCTGTGTCTCCACTCTGTCCCTGGGTGGCCCCCAGCACAGCCCCCATGCCCAGCCTCCCACTCTCTGTCCTAGGAGAGGGAGAGGAAGTCTCCGGCCATCAACTTCCACCACACCCCCTTCGCAGACGGGAAGAGCCCCCTCCAGGCCTACTGCGAAGCTGAAGGCGTGACGGTAAACCCCCGCCCCCCGCCCCTGCACCCCACCCCACCCCACCTGGCTGTCATTCACCTCCCTCTCTTTGCCTCCAGGACATCCTGGTCACGGAGCTGATGAAGCAGCTGGACATCCTGGGGGATAACGCCGTAAGTGTATGTCGCTCTCCTGACTTGTGCATGCCTCCTCATGCCAGCCCCCAACCCATCAGCCCCCCAGGGTCCAGGGACCCCCATGAGTCCTGCTGCCAGTCTGCCACATCTGCCCTGCCCGCCGGCACCGTCCCTGAGGCCACAGCCGCTTGGTAGGCCCCTGGAATTTGGGAGAAATCCTGCCCCTTTCTCATGTTCCTGCACCCGGCTGAGTGGTGACTCGCACCCAGAAGGACGGGGTTTGGAGCCTCTGTTCGGCCAGGATGGGGAACCCTCTGCTGTGCATACCCAGTTCTGCCAGCCATGATGCTTCTGGCCACGTGTTCTCGGTTTCTGAATGCCGGTCAGTCTCTAAGCCTTCCCACACCTTAATGGAGGTGGGGGCTGTAGATCCTCCAGTACCTTGGATGTCCCAGACTCTTAGGGGTTCCCAGTTCCTTGGTTTGGGGGGAGGGACAGAGACCATAAATAATCTTCAAATCTTATTTAGGGCCAGTTCAATTTCTACAGCAGCCTCCTTGAAGAATACTGATTACCGAATGACTGAGTGACTGTACCCTTTCATCCTCCACCTATCCATCCATCCCTCAACCCTTCACCCTCCAACCATCATCTCTCCATTCCATCCATCCGTCCTTCATCCCTCCCTCCATCCCCAGCCATACATCCATCTTCTATTCTCCAATTATCCGTCTATCCATCCATCCCTCCATCCTCCATCCATCCTCCATCATCCATCCATCCTCCATCCTCTGTCCATCCATCCTTCATCTTCCATTCATCATCCATCCATCCATCCTCTGTCCATCTTCCATCCATCCTCCATCATCCATCCCTCCATCCATTCTCCATCCACACTCCATTTTCCATCCATCCTCCATCCTCTGTCCATCTGTCCTTCATCTCCTATCCTTCATCTTCCATCCATCCATCCTCCATCCATCTATCCATCCTCCATCCATCCATCCTCCATCCATCTATCCATCCTCCATCCATCCATCCATCCATTCTCCATCCATCCTCCAACCAACCATTCATCTTCCATCCATCCATCTTCCAACCATTCATTGTCCATCCTCCATCCAT